TTTTATTGAATCATTCCTCCAGTTTGAAATGTTAATTGTAGAGTTTACATAAGACAGTTATACATAAAACTAGCGGCTATTAGATAAAGTAAAACTGTACAGATAAAGGTAATTTTTTTCCTTATTTTTTTTTTCTAAGAATATAATTTATTCTGTCATTGTGCTATAGAGATTAGGTAAATTTTTTATTATAACATCTGTTAAAAGTAGTTAAACGATTGGAAAGCATTGGTTGAAGTTTATAAACTGACAACTTTTTTTTTGCTAGATATACTTTTCACTACAGTAATTGAAAGCGTAAAAATTGGAAGATATAGACTAATTATAGACTGATCTATGCATAGACTAATCTAGGGGCAAACAGTAGGCTTAAGTATTGTAGTTTTGAAAACCATCTCAACTTGTCCTAAATGTACATAAAAAGTAGACGTCAATCTGTTGGTGTAAATTCGAAATTTTTTTACATTTATTCTTGCACTTTTATTCTTCTGTACCTCTTTTTTTTTTCAAGTGATACTTTTTTGTTTTCTTGAATAAACACATCCTAAATTTTAAGAATTTTCTAAAATAAAAGATGTCACTAATATGGTTGTTGTTGTTGTTAAAATTTTGAGTGTGTATTACAGTTGAATATTGAAAAAAATTTTTGCAAACATTTTTTCATTGAATCTGAGTTGAAAAAAAAAGACTTTTTTTTCTTTTAAAATATGATATAATTCTTCTGTAAAAGGTTCTGTAACAAACTGATTAATTAATTAGAATCTGAAACTGATTAATTAAGAATCCTGAAAAAAAGTGCTGTGTGTTGAGCGCAATTGCAATCTGATAGCTTAAATTTTTCTTCTTCACTTTTACTTTTGAAATATAAATTTTTGTTTTTATTTACTATATCACTTTAATGTTTTTGAAAAAAAAAAAAATTTATTAATTTTAGGTGCAGAAGATGACTATGTTAATCTACCGGATTCAGCTGAGAATCTAATACAAGGTACAGTTGATTTATTATCCAAATTTATACTTTTTTGCTCGTT